CCCCAAAACCCCAAAACCCCAAAACCCCAAAACCCCAAAACCCCTTTAAGATTATTTATTATTGAACATAAGAAATGGAGCAGTCTAAGCTAGGCCAAGGCACACCCTGAGGTATTCAGAGATAACATACACTATAATGAGTTTTAGGAGTGAAGAAAACACTTAATTGATATTGAAATAACTTACCTACTTGGATACATAAATTTTCCTATTACATTTTGATAGTCTGTTAAGGCCTTATTTTTATTTTATCCATGAAGTTCAGAGCCAATATAGCTAAATCAGACTTTTCTTTGCATTTAAAGGATTCAAATAAATTGTGAAATCTATGAAAGTAATCTTCTACAACATTTTTAGAGAATTTCCAAAATAAGAATGGCCCAAAGTGAGGAAAACAAATCGATATGTGGAAAGATGAAAATAAGCTTTCTAAAATGTAAGAGTGAAAGGGTCATTTTAGACCTATTGATTGTCATAAATTTACTGATTCAGCATCTAGACTCCCATTAAGCTCAAATACCTGTGATAAAACTCGTTCTGTAAGCGTCACTCCTTGCTCAGATACCACAATAGGGAGATATTTTAATACAAAAATACGACAAACAATGAGAAAACTGAAGGTATCCAGTGATGTCGCCCTCAGTATTGCTACTGTCCTAGGAAAGGCAACCAGTAAAGGTACTCTATTTTCCTTCTGATTATCCTAAAAATGATAATTTCTATAGTGACCAACAAGTAAGAAATTCGAAGGAAAATGTAGCTATATTGCTGGTAAATACCAAAACCAGACCTTTAAGCCAGTATTTCTCGACTCTCAGACAGCAAGTAGGCTTCTTGGTTACGTATAGCTGTGCCTGTATCACCAATAAATTTGAATAAACCTGTTCCTGATCCTAAGATGTTCCTACACAGGATACACAAGGTACCATCCCCTACTTCTCCAAGCACATTAACTTCCGACTTTCTCACTACCACTATTTAATAATTTCCCTTAATAATCCCCCAAAACACCACCTATCCACCAATCCATCCCTCCTCTAAAATTCCCTCCACCCCAATTCCCCCCAATTCCCCCATTACCCCAAGAACACCTCACCTTCTAACCCCCACTCACTCCTCAACCTCCCTCCACAACCCCCTCTGCCACCCTCCCCCTAAATCCCTCCAGCCTCAACCCCCTAAATCCTTCTAAAATCCAGCCTGTTCCTTCCCAAATTCGGCTATCTCTTCAGCCAAGGCTGATTTTTATCTTACTTTTGGTCATGATTATATAAGCACTAGGACCCCATTAGGTGTTTGGGGCTATTTTTGTGCTCGTTGGAGTGTATTTAGGTATAGGTGGTGCTTTTGAAGTTAATTCACTGGTGGTATAATTTGGAAAGAGACTAATGTGGGTTTAGGATAAGTAAGAAGAGACAGCAGAGGGAGATGAAAGAGCAATTGAAGAAGAAGAAAATGGAATTTGAGTATCAGGAGAAGTTGAAGCAGGAGAATAACAGTTTGGAGAGGAGTAAAATCGAGCTAGTTGAGCAAAGAAGATTGAAAATAGGTAGGGAAAGAGAATAGATTGATTCTAAGTTTGCTTAGATATAAATATCTGTCTTTATATATGAGTTTGAGTTGAATGTTGATATCTTTATTTATAGAAAACAGAATGAAACAAAAGAGAGATAAGAAAATAACTGAACTAGAATTACTCGATAAGAGGTAAGTTAATTGGTAAAACTTTTAGCCGTCTGGTTGTAAAACAATGTAGAAATGGAGGTAAAGCTATTTTTACAATTTAGAACCTCTCTATAGAAAAATTGCTAAAGAATTTCATCAAAGTTTTGAACTCCCAGAATTAGAATTTCGGAAGAAAAAGCTCCTTGAAATCAGAAATCTTAGGGGCAACAGACTCCAAAAATCAGAAATCTCACTTAATATGAGCCGATACAGATCTATCATCAGACAAAGAGCTGCTGAGCTAGAGGAGGAACGGATGCGAAAAGCAGCAAATGTAGATTTTCATCCTGAGAAATACCACACCAAAACTCGTCAAAAAGTCATTGAACAAGATGAGAGAATTAAGCAAGAGAATATTGCCAAAATCCAAAAGAGACGTCTACTTGCTGAGAAGAAGATGAGCTATGGTATGTTTGTAAAACAGACTCATAAACCTCTTATTTCTAAGAAATAAGAGATTAGAGATGACCTTTATTAAGCAAAAGATTCGACACCCAGTAAAGCACAGTCGTAAGGTATCCAGCAGCGCTGGATACAACGAGCTGTATAATACCACGGGTAAGAACCCGTGGAGTTCAACTTCTCAACTAGCCAGAGGCTCTCAGATTTCTAACTCAACTTTGCCTCATTCTAGGACGCCCATGAACCAATTAAGAGGTCGCTCTTCACTCCTTGGGAAGAAGAGTATCAACCAGGGGATAAGATTGAGACACAAAGGGACAGGAATATCAACTATGACTCTTAATAACGCCACAAAAGGTGGACATCTTGATAGCACTGCAACAGAAGTTCCTAGGACGATTTCCTTCACTGATGTTGTAAATAAGCTTCACAAGAAATCAAGGAAGTTGATTATAATGAAGAAATCAAAGAGAGCAATAAAGAAGAATTCTGTAAAGCAATGATCGCCTAAGAGAATACATAACTACTCTAAAAAGAAACTACAAAGTAAGTTTGGCATAACTCTGTAGAGGACAGAATTAAGAGGTGGAAAAAGAGCATCAGGAAAATGTCCCATAGCGTTAACTCTAGTAACATTGAGAGAATCAAGACATTAGCTGATATGCTTGAGAATGAAGCAGACCAGAAACAGGAGGTATGCCTATTATAACTTTTAGATATTAAACACAACTCATGCGTTTGATGTTAAGGAAACTCATAAGATCAATGACATGTACCTCAGTGCGATTAAGGCCAAATTTGCTCTCTTAGATATGGACTAAATCCCCATGTAGTCTCTTAAATAGGGGTTTTGGGGTTTTGGGGTTTTGGGG